ACCACTCAGGCTTCTCTGGCTAAACCGTGCCAGTAACAAGATGCTTTTCGTACTTGTTCCAAGAAGTCTCGAATGACTACATCTTTGGCTTTCATCCTTTGCTGAGTCTGTTCCCAACGAAAACGCCATTGAATCCTCCATCAAAAAGACTATCTGAAGTTCAGTTGTTTGTTTCTTGAATTTGTCAACAATGACCTCCAATTCAGCTATCGTTTTGTCATCCTGTTCTTTTTGTATTTGAATAGACTTCTCCAGATCAGCTACATTGGTCTTTAAACATTTGTTCTGGTGCTGGTTATCTAACAAACGTCTTTGGGAAGCCTTTAGTTGTTTTTCAGGGTCTCTCTTTCATCTTGTCCTTCGGTCTTCACTTTTCTAGTATTTAGAAGATCTTTTCAGGCTGGAATTGTTTTGAACTTGTTCTTAATACCCTTTTCTCAAAATAGATTTCCTTTTGTTCTTTTTCTAATTTGTCTACTCGATCCTTCTGAGTCTTTTCTGACCATAGTCGGACCTCTACATTTTTCACCTCTTGCATTACAACCCCTTTGTCTATTAATGTAAATTATTTATGTTTAATGAACACGTTTTTATGGATTAACACCTCTTTTGAATGATGTAAATAATAAAAAAATAAAGTAAAAGAAAACAAAATGAAAGGGAAAAAAGTTAGTGAGATAAAGATAATGATCAAAATAATAATAAAAATAAAAAGTCCCACCCACATGCTTATCATTCCTACCTGGACATGATCTCTATCCCGCATGTTAATTTTGAACAAGTCCTAACCACATAAACATCTAGTTCACATGTTCTGAACAGAAAATAAAGCATAAAATAACTCAAGACAACTTAGGTTTTGAAATGAAGTTTTGGTGTGGGCTCTAATTCCCTATAGTCTCCCGATTTAAGTTCTAAATAAAGTACCAAATTTCTCCTTGTTGGTGCCCCCTTGGGTTTCCAGACCCTCAGTCCTAAGCCCATTATAAGCCTATGTGGACCAAGTTAAACACGAGATGATACATTCCCTTATGTCTATACAGAGAATAAATTCACACGAAGACATAAGGTATATGAATCCCGAAGGTTACTTGCTAGGCCTATATGGAGAATAAATTCCCATGAAGGTGTCGCTTTCACCTCCAATTAAAAAAGTTTGGATCTCGGGTATAGAGCCATAGATGAAAATTTTAAAAATCTAAAATCTTTGAAAAAACGTCAATACAACTATTTATTTGAAAAATAATCAAAGATAAATAATAAGAATCTAATAAATAAAATAAAATTTAAACTTTTTTATTTTTGTTTAAAAAGACAACCGAAAATTAATTCTGGTCTGAATCACTTACCTGTCCCGTTTAGAATCGCCAAGCTGTCGCAATCGTCTTTCATGTGGGCCCAGAATTGGGCTTCGACTTAAATAAAATACATTAGAGCCGCCAGCGATCATTTTAAAAAATATTTAGGTTGATCAGACACCATCTTACCTGATCTGCATTTTACCATAAATATGTCGGATTCAAGAGTCGGTTACAGTCAAGTAAGGATTATCACCCTTGAACTGTCCTTTCGGTACCATTTTAATTTATCGGTTGTCTTAATTGCAAAAATTTAAATTTGAAGATTCGATTCGAATTACTTACCTCGATAAAAATTGCCTCTAAAAAGGTGTTAAAACTGAAGTTAACTAAAAAAGGTAACATGAGGGTTAGAATAAAAGGAGTAAAATTTAAATTAACTTAAATAAAAGTTAAATAAAATAACATTCATATTAAAAGGGTTATACCGCGAAAAATTTAAAATTAAGGTACCAAATTGATATTATTTAAAACCTGCAAGAAATAATATATAGTTAGGAGGGGTTATTTGTAAAATATAAGAACTTTAAACCGGGATTAAATCGAAACAATATGAAATTCAGGGACAAAATTACAACAGGTGACAAAAATGAATTACACTTCAAACTTACAGGGGCTGTGAAAATAATTTAAAAATCTTGTAATTACACACATGTTCCCCTTATAAATACCCCCCAAAACCAAAAAAATTAACATTTCTCTCATTTCTTCTCCCCTCCAAAAACCAAATGTTCTCTCCCTCAAATTCTCTGAACCCAAACTGGCCTCGATGGCCGACAACGCCCGGTGGCCGCTGATCGCAGCCTCCGGTGGCCCGAAAAAACCCAAACTCCCAAAAACAAATCACTCCCCGACCTCGTAATCACGAATCCAAGGTTCGATTATCCTAAAACGAGCCGCGTTGGCGTAGATCTAGATAAAAAGGTTTCGACTTTTACCTTTTTTGATACGTCTTCTTGGCTTCCCGACGTTCTCTTCTCCGATGATGTTCCTCTGTTTTCTTGCTGTTGATATATATTTATTTGCTTTTATATTCGAACTTTGTTTGTTGGGTTTTTTTCAGTGTTTTGGTTGTATGACCGAATGCTGTTTGGGGTATTTTGATGGTTTTATTCTTTGATATTGCTTGCTTGGTTTTGGATTTCTGCCGTTTGGTTGGTGTTCTGATGATGTATTTTTTTATGCCCTTCGTGGGTTACTTGCTCTGATTTTTCCTTGCGTTCTTGGTCGGGGTTTTAGGGATGGTTCAATCCCTATCTTTGGCAGATTTCTATTTCGATTCCCTGTTCAAGGGTCGAAAAAATCGGTCGGTGCTCGATATGCTTCAGGCGCGTGACTCCACGCGTGCTCGCTTGCGACGCCGTTGGGTTAGTATGAAACCCTAATTTAGGATTCTAGGCTAGATTAGGCCCACCTAATCCGGGTCTGTTGGATCAGGCTTACCCGATTGGGCTTCATGCTGGACTATAATTGGACCTAAAATAGAAAAAAATAAAAATAAAAATAAATAAATAAATAATAAAAATATTAAAAATATTTTCGAAACCTATACATCAAACTATATATATTATATATATTTTCAAAAACATTTTAAAATTATATATATATTCAAAATGTTTTCAAAACTATATATTATATATATTTTCAAAATGTTGTAAAAAACTATATATTATATATATATTTTCAAAAACTATATATTATATATATTTTCAAAATGTTTTTAAAAACTATATATTATATATATTTTTTCGAAAGGTTTTCAAAAACTATATATTATATATATTTTTTAAAATGTTTTCAAAACTATATATTATATATATTTTTAAAAAATTATATATATATATATATTAAATAGAATCCGGGCGAAAATGAATAATTATTCATTGCATCATTTTCAACGAGGTGAGGCTTCAATGTATACACTGTCTTCTTCATCTCTCTTACTAATAAACTATTTGGCCCACATCCTCGATCTTAGATAACAATATGATAGATTTATATTGAATTTGTTGGTTGTCGACTTGTCGGTTCAGAATTAATAATATCATAATAAAATAATAAAATAATTAAACTTATTTTTATTAAATGAGACTTAAAATATTGTAACTATTATTATAAATTAATAAAAATACAATTCAAGAGTATTTAAATATGTATTAATTTTTAATTTAAAAAATTTAAATATTATATATGTCGAAGATAATAAGTAGTTCTTGTCTGTAGTTGATGGTTTATCTTTCTTTATTTGGATGAAGAGTCGCTACTGATGAGAGAATGAGTATTAACAATATTTTTATATTGAAGAAATTAGATCATAGAAAAAAAAAGACGATAAAAAATAATAATTTGTATCAATGGATTATTATAGGTTATTTGTAGAGAACTAAACAAATGTAATCAAACTTTGAGTTTCATGCACGCATAAAATCGAAGAAAACAAAATAAGCTTCAATTGCGAAGGTAGGGAATTGAATCGTAATTATCATATATTTTAGATTTTTTATGTATTTTCTATTACTAATATGTTTTCGTCCCTAAAATTTTATAACTTCAAATCTTCCCCTAAAATTTTATAAGTTCAGGTTAATTCACGTAACATAAAATCCTGCGTGCATCCCTGACCGTAGATGCTGATTTAATAAAAATCTACTAACGATTACTTGACCGGTTATGTAGGGGAGCTATATTCTACGGTCTAGATTGCATAAATGTGTGACTTTGTCGGCTATCAAATTTGAATTCATTACAGCAATCGAGTCATGTAAGAAGTTACTTCGAATGAAGTATTTTGTGCAAAATCTTAATCAACTTTATTCAAGAGAGGCATGCTTTGTTTTGTGATGATCAAAAATTTTAATTATTTTAGTAAGAACTAAACTTTCTATGATCGATCTAAACATATTGTTGTGAGGTATCATTGAATAAAAGAAGTTCTTGAGACTAAATTGTTATCACTCGGGAAAATTAATACTAAAGATAATGGGAAGAAAAGGTTTGTTGGGTTATGGGTCTCTATATGTAGGGAAGCCCACTTTGCCACACCCTTCAATGAAACAAAAGCATTTCTCTATATGAAAAGTGTGGAGGACAGAGGTCATGCGATTGAGAGAACACAACAAGAAGCAAAAACATTTTGAGACTTTGATTAGTTTTAATCAACTCTTTGATAAAGGGTTGATCTGTAATTTGATTGATCTGATTTTTGGATAATGCCCAAAGGACTTAGGTACCTTAATTTTCATTGAGACATTGTACTTTTAGGATTTTAATTCCAAAGTCGACCATTAGTTGTGGTGATATTCTCGATTTCTCTTTTATTTGCTTAAGATTATATGTTGGAACTTATACTCATTATTGCAATAAATCCTTTTAATAGACTCTCAAATCTGATGAATTTTATTTTTCAGTTTTAAAAGAATTTTCACCTAAAATTGTGTCTATCTTTATTTATTAATTATATTTATTGTGATTATTGATTGATTGACTGCATTGTGGTTAGGTATATTTTACTCTATTTTACTTAACGGGAAATGACGAGTTTAGAACATATGAATAGTCAGATGATCATTTTGTAAATTTTAATAATCGAGAGACTCAAAAAAGTAAAGCTCTATAATCGGGACCAGTTATGTACTTTACCCTTTAATATATTGTTTTTCCATAGATTCGTATGGAAATCCTAGCATGCATGCGAATGCTTACAGTATCCGAAATGAATAGGAGGAGTCTGGGCGGAACTGCATGAGGGCGGACAATAGTGATTATGGAGAAAGGGAGAGAAAGGACGAGATTTCCGCCAACTAATGCCATTGCGATCACAAAAAACCTGCAAATAAATCAAATATATACATATAGTCTCATTAAAATCCATGCTTTCTTCAGCTATATATAGCTATGATCATAATGCATACGCTAATATTAAGCAACGTACATAAATGTGGGGAGATCATCATAACTGGCCTCGAACTGGAAGAATTGAGCGAAGAAAGGAAGAGTTTGATCACTGGTTCCCATGGTGGAAGCAGCAGCTAAAGCTGCAATAATGGCTCCTAGTCTCAGAAGGAAGTCCGCAATACCCAATACTTTCTTGAATCCGCTTTTTTGATCCCTCGCAGTAGCAATGAGCGGCGCTTTGCCTTTTTCAACAGCGCTCGACTCATCTACATTAATGCTTGAGTGATCCTCGCTCTTCATCATGTTCTGTTGTTTTGGGAGGGAAAAGAGAGGAAATTTGTTAGCTTAATTTGAAGCTTTGTTTGTGATGGGAAAATGGGTGAATGGATGAGGTTTTTAAAGAAGATACTTTTTTGTTGTCAATGGAGTAGGGAAAATTTTCCCCCATTTACTGAAGCAGGTAGACATAATCTCAGTGGATATACACATAATTAGATTAATACTATTTGAACTTATATATAATACCCAGTTTTCAATTTTCTTTGATATTCCCTGCGAGTATAATAGAAAGGGAGTAGGAACTTATATAATTAAGGTCAAATAAAACTTTGGCAAAATACCAACTCAAACATCATGCCTACTCTCTTAATCAGTCAACTAAACCCACTTGGCCTCCCTAATCCAACATTCCCAAAATGGGTTTACGGCATGTTGTCAAAGAAAATATAATAATGAATAGAAATTTAATTAATTCAAATTTATTAATTATGCATTATCCTTAAAAAATCATACACTTACACTTAGAGACAAACACAAGATTTTATATTGGGGTGTAAACTTAAGTTGTATTATAAATTTAAGAGATGCAAAATTACAAAAATCCAGTATGTACGAAATTAAATAATTAATAGAAAATACAAAGAAAATTCGTAAACTATGTGAGAGTTTAAAATTTTTAGAAATACGACCGCGCCCCCTAGCATCTCTATTGGTCCATCCCTGTTTACATCGGAATTTGATATTTTTAGATTTTTCAATGAGATTTAACAAAATAAAAGAGTGATTTTATTATATTGATTTGAGTTTAGATCAAAATATTATGGACAACTTAGAATTCATGTCTCTTTTACCTTACATTTTGCACAAAAAAAAATTATTTATTGGGGCTAACATACACCAAAATTAATGCGAGAATGCCATCAATACAATCGAGTCTCATCTCGTCTAATATCTCTCAAGCTGTCATACTACCATACTTTAGATATACTAACCCTTATATATTTGACAAACCATAATATTACTTAACCGGTTATTCTGAAACTCAGATATTTTAATCATGCTTTGATCCTCCAATCTTTATGTAGGATCAGATTAGGCTGTTACAGCTTATGTACATGTTTTTCTTTGTTAATTCGTAAATAGATTATGCTGTGCATTAACTAGTGAGTTTGATTGAACTCACACTAGTTTTATTTTCAAGTCCTAGAGACGCCTAAGAGTGGAGGGTGATCAAGAAAAGCAATTCAAACTATTTCAATTTGGTAAATAAACGTTTTAGTGACTTGGGATTTTGCAAGACATATGTTGCCTACTATATGAGATTTTAGACATTAACGGTTGGTTTTTAATTTGATTTTGAACTTAGATTTTATTTTCCTCTTTTTAATTTATGGATTAGAATACATGTGTCTTTATGAATCTAAACGTCCTTGTTATTATCCAATGTGATGTTGAGGGATCATCAAGGTGAGGCGATCCATATAACCATGGAGTGGAGTCAACTTCACAAGTTGCAATGTTATGGATCACTTATTATCTCTCACTGCAAAGGTTTGCCAAATTTCTTTGAGAATTAAAGTTAGGTGGTAGAAGAATGCAATCATGGGATGAAGATGGACTGTCTTAGGTGAGGATGTTAAACCCCACGTTGATTAGGCGCATTTGCTAAATGTCCAAAATTCCAAACCTATATGTATATCAGTTGCATGATAAAAAATTAGTAGTTACTAAGGATCTAGTTAGATCAATATTTGCTCATGTTCTAATCGTGTAATGTGGCTCATGCAAGCTAGCATGAATTTTTCAAAGAAACAATGGTTGATCGCGTGGAATAGAGGTCATACACAAAGTTATTATTGTTGTTAGGGATGATTGATAATTAGTTGTCGTGAACTAGTCATCACACTTTATCCCAAATAGAACCGATTACTCTATGGATAAGTATGCAGAATTGTGTATTAAGGAGACTGTGAGATTACAAGGAATACCTATCTCGATTGTGTTTGATAGAGATCCAAGGTTTAATTCAAGATTTTGGAAGTCCTTGCATAAAGCCTTGGGTACTAGACTTAATTTCAGCACAACTTTTCATCCACAGACAGATGGACAATCAGAACGGACTATTCAGATTCTAGAGGATATGCTAAGGGTGTGTGTGATTGAATTCAAAGGATCATGGGAGAAGTACTTTTCATTAGCAGAATTTGCTTATAATAATATTTACCAGTCAAGTATTAAAATGGCTCCCTATGGAGTTTTATATGGAAGAAGATGTCAGACACCATTGAATTGGTACGAACTTAAAGATCGAAACATACTCGACCTTTATCTGATTAAAGAAGTAGAAGAAAAAGTAAAGATCATACAAGATAACCTCAAGATAGTTGCCGACCGACAGAAGTCTTACTTAGGTTTGAATAGAAAAGAGATTGAATACCAAGTGGGCGATAAAGTATTTCTTAAAGTATCACAGTGGAAAAAGGTTCTACGGTTTAGACGAAAAGGAAAACTAAGTCCAAGATTCATTGGTGCGTATGAAATTGTGAAGAAAGTTGGTCTGGTGGCTTATCAGCTAGCTATACCTTCGGAAATAGATAATATTCACAATGTATTTCATGTATCGATGCTTAGGAAGTATCGATCATATCCTTCACATGTTATTCTCCTTGAAGAAATTGAAATTCAATCAGACTTGACATATAAGGAAGAACCAGTGAAGATACTAGAATATGAAGTCAAAGAACTAAGGAACAAGACGATCCCACTTGTTAAAGTTCTTTGGTGAAATCATAAAATCCAGGATGCTACTTAGGACCGAGAAGAAGATATGAAAAAGCAGTTTCTTCATCTTTTTGAATCAAATATGTAATGAAAATTTGAGCGTGAATTTTTTAAGGGGAGAATTTTAATTCCCCAAATTTTGGACTAGTGACTAAATGTAAAATTTGAAAGTTTAGTGGCTAAAATATAAACTTTCTAAAACTTTAAGGACCAAAGTGGTAATTTTCCCAAGAATAAATTTTATCCAATAAATCACCTCAAGAATGATATTTTCAAGGGTTTCATATTTTTGATTCGTAACTTGTATTAAAAGTTATAAAGTGATAAAGTTCAGTATAATATCCGAATAATCAGATCGAACCGAAAAATTAGAAAAATCGAAAGGATGCCATTATAAGGTTAATAATGTCATTTCAATATTTTAAATTAGTAGAATTTAACAAGGATCATTGGATTTAAGTTGATTTTCCATGTTAAATCAAGATCGTTGAATTAAAGTGGCAAGATTGGAATTTTTAGAAAAGTACAAGGGCAAAGATGGAAGCTAATGAAATATTATTTTATATTGACATGATGATGTAAGGAATGATTTCATGATAATGACATGGTGTAATTATCATGATTCATTAAGGGTAAAAAGGTATTTTTTGCATAAAATTAATTTTTTATTCATTTTAATTAGTTTGAATTATTATATCATTAGTAAGATTTGTTAGTGAGGCATCAGGTGAATGCATTTTATTTATTATATATATGATACGAGGACGACTTGCGACGAGTCAACCTCAAGTGATTGAAAAAAAATGTTTGAATTATTATGGTATATTTTCCATAATGTTTTCTAGAAATGGTTTATAAATGATTTTAGGATATGAACTACCTAATGCTTCAAAATATAATATTATGACATGTGAACTGGTATGAATTTTAAAAAACCCATTGTATGTATATTGAGATTAATTGGTACAATTGTCATGCTATGAGATAGAGTGGTTATCAATCGATCTTATATTGGTACATACGTGTACATTATAGAGAGGACATGATACATTTTATGACACATATGTGATATGGTGTTTGCACATATAATATGCTAGTGCGATGTATCTTGGTTATAAGTACAGTGTTGTTGTATTCTATAGTACATATATTGGTATAAAAAGGTCACTATATGTGCAAATCGGTTATATGACACCTATGGTGCAATTGATTTACAGGGCACTAAATGTGCAAGGTAGTTATACTACATATAGTACACTCGGTTAAATTACTCACGTACCATGTGTTCTCATTGATTTTACATTAAGCTATGTTTTAAAATGAAATGAAAATTAAATATTTAATCAATATGAAAAGTTGAATTACATGTCACTTTTACATGGAGATGACTTTAATATGTCGATTATATATATTTCTATATTTTTATATAAAAAGTATCGTATTTTAGTTTATGATGATATTTTTGTATTGAAATTACTTACTTTAGTTTGTATATGGCTCACTAAGTTTATACTTAGCGTGTGATTGTTTCACGTGTAGGTGAAGGAAAGGGAAAAGCTGAGGAGTAAAGAGCTTAGCAAGCATCACTTTTTGGGAAAATTCTACCTAAATCCAATATCAGTAAGACATCTACTGATTTCTTTGTATTATCTAGTTGACAAGTATATTATATGTTTTGTTGGCTCTAATGTGTTAGTTATATAGATATATGATCCGGTTTATAGTAATAACTTAGTACTATTAATACGGATAATACTACATATAATTAGTAGTTTTAAAAGAATAGTAGTTATTAAATTATATTTTATTTGCATTTGAAAGTATTTTTAAATTAGGCCGTTTTTATTTATGATATGATACAATATTGAATTGCCTAATTGCTACGTAGAATAGAACTTGAAATGGAGGTTAAAATATTTTGTATTGATAATATGCGATTAACTGATTTTAGCAATAATAATTAAATTTGTAGTTTTTAAAGAAACAAAATTTTACAAGTTTTTAAATAGGAAATGTTTATATGGTTAATGTAACATCTTTAACTCATATTCGAATACATATACACAATTAGAGTGTTACGCTAATTATTATATTGTTTTTCACATCATGTTTGAATTGTATGCATTTTAATATTATTTTATGTTTGCACCTAGAGGGCACACTAAACTTTATAACTCACTCTGTTTTAGTCTTCCATTTTTAGATTATCCAGATGTAAGATCAATTTGGCTATCAGAGGTGTA